AATGTTGGCTCAAGGTAAAGATACCGCAGTAGGATCACCAATTCGAACACCAAGGAAGATTGCTCTAATTGGTTTAGCCTTTAGCAAAGCCTCCAACCCAGTCTTGAAATCTAGGCGAATGATATCCATTTGCAAACCATAACTGCTCAAATGATAGAAACCAATTAGCAATAGAAAAAACATGTAAGAGGGCTTAAAGCACAAACAATAGGATAATCTTGCCTAACATTTTTCAGAAGATAATCAAAAAAGATATTAGAGGTAAACAAAAAGCTTCTCTCACGTAGTGGCCGTATCATAGGTAAATGAATTAATTTCAGGAAATGCTGAACTGATCTCAAAGTATATAGTCCTAATCGGAAAATCTGACACACTCCCATTTGAACAACTTTGCTCCCCCTTATGCAAAAAGTAGCCAGCCCTAAGAAGGTGAAGCAAGACCTGAGCATCCAAGGCATTGTCATTATCACCAAAATCAAGATTTTACATTTAAAAAAAAAAAAGATAGGAATACATTAAGGAAAATGGCATATGTGAACTTACAATTGAATCTTTCCCTCCATTGAAGCTGAAGGCAACCTCTTCAATACTGCCCCCAAAAAAAAAAAAACTCTTAGCATTAGCTGGCATCAGCTAAAATAAAAAGGATTACCACTGGGCATTGGAGCAAAATAATTATATTTATTTCATTGATGCACTGTACTAAGTAATAGCCAAGAAATACCAGCTCAAAAAACGAATACGAAAAATCAGGTCAAGACAGCAGCAGTTTTATATTTAAGCACCAATTCTTATTCTGTGGCAAACTACATAATAAATTACTTATAGCAACCTAATGAGAAAAAGGTTATCCAGACAGAAAGCAAGAAGTGTCAAAAGATGGGGATCCAAGCCCAATCAAATCAAATGTTTGTATCCGATGTAGACACCAGACAACACCAATATGGCATGTGCTTATTAGGGAAGGATGTTGCCAATTCTTTCTACATAACATACAGGAAATAAAAAGTTACTTCTCTTCAGGTGACAACCGAAATTCTGCAAGCCCACCCCTCCCCCCCCACCTCCCCCTAAATTTTCCACGTGGGTATATTTTCAACATTAATTCTCGTAGAATTTGAAACTCAAAGCACAATGTATAACCACTTAGGTGGAGGAAAGACAAGCATTTGATAAGATAATTACATCAAATTATGTAAGTCAGCTGCTTCCAACAAGATATCATGCAACAAGACAACTGGTTTTCAGGTTATATTACAAGGCCAAACAGAAGCCAACTGTTTTATCATTAAATTTCCACTTTTTTACCAGTTTCAGAACATTTAGAGAGGCGGTGCCAGGCTGTAAACCTAAAAAAGGGGTAACATTTGAATTTCTACTCTCTCTCCTGAACTAATTGGGTAAATATCTAACAGCTATAGCAAAGGTATTTGCAAGGGCAGCACGCCTTACTCCCTTGTGTATATTGTACTTTTTCTATTCAAGAGAATAGTAAAAGAAGATGCATCATCAACTTCATCATTTACAGCTGTTTTGTCCATAAATGTGCCAATTAATTATTTTCCAAATCTCGTTAAAGATGGCAACTAACATTATACTTTCTACCTGTTTTAGAGATTTAGAGAAAGGAAAGGTCAGGCACAGGACGTATATGATATAGCACATAAGAGTAAATAAATTATGCAAACAAAAAAGAAAAATGTAATCCACTATCACAGAGATCACACGTAATAACATATTTACACTCAATCATGAGAAAATATATGAAAATTCTATTCATAGACTGATCTGAGAAACAATATTGTTGTTACCCTTCTCTGTCGTGCCTTTAGGATCGACTGGAATTCAAGATTGTTATAGTATGCTATCATGGCCCACTAACTGTAAAGCCAAACAAAATAGCTACTGGTGGTTTTTTTTCAGAAAGAATTCACTTATTAATGGCACCATATATGCTTGTGAAGGAAGATAAACCCATTCACACTAGTCCCTATAAGAGTTGTGAGACTATGAATCATAAAGACATGCAAAACTTCAAGAGAGACAAGAAACTTGGCATATTTGATATTTGCTAGGTTATCCAAACCTAGAACCTAATCAATGCCATATTACCCCATGGTGACATAATTTTTGGTTCAAGGATAATTGTTGCGCTAGGATGAGAATATGTGTATCAAGAAAAAATTCTCCTCAATAAATCTCGTGCCAAAACATTGGAGATTCTCTTCCTCAAACTTAAACCATATCCTTCTAGGCGCATGTTGTCTATTTCCTCAAAAAGAGAGAATGAAAATTCAAATTAAAATGAATCATTGAATAAAAATATAATCCTAGCACTTAAAAAAAATGTCTGAACTAAAACATGTGGCATCATGGACAACCACAAATTCAATAAATAACTTCCTCCTAAATTCTCTATCTTTGAAAATGTTCACCAATTTATTTGATGGTTTGAACAAAAAATTCTTTAATGAATTTAGAGCCTAGCCTACCTAGCTAATACAATCAAATGGATAAGTTTATCAAGGGAATAAATGAATTCACAGAAGTATATGTATGTAATTCAGTGCAAATCTACATTTTTATCCACATTCTAGATACAAAAATGTGAATTTGCAAGCAACTCTGCACTTCTTTTGGGATTCGTTTGTTCCAACATACTGCAACCAAAATTATAACGTTGGAAATTAGAAATATCACTTGCTTTAAATGCCCATGATAAACTAGACAACTAAGAAAGCAATCATCAATTATCGGCAGCTTAACAGTACCTCCACAAAAGTAATATCATTTCACATTCAAAGTATCATAGTGATACAATTAGTGCACGAAAACCTTTGGCATCATATATCACTCAAGAAAGTTTCTGACCTGAAAGAAAAAAAAAAAGGTCTTTTACAATGCTAGGATCACCTGTAGCATGTAGCCTGCCCTCCCAATCAATGCATAACAGGATCCTAATTCCATTTCTGACACCTCAAAACATATTGACACAGTGCCTATGGAAAAAATTTAGAGAATCTTTAACAAGTTATTAAAGTGAATTTATTTGCAAAAATCCATCTTTCTCTCCTTCTGTGGTTAATATATAAAGATCCAATATGTGTTATAGAAGGAAAACAAATTTGTAAGGGCATTTCTTAATATGATTATAACAAAACAAAAGAATTTGCAGGTTCTAGGACAGAAAAAAATGCTAAAACTGCCAAAATAAGATCCTACGCAACCAGTGGGACCAACTAAGTTTGTTAAGCAGTGATTGGATTGATGGAAAGAAAGTCTGCTACAGTGAATCTTTTCCAGAAAAAAAAAGAAGCATACATAGAGACTTTCGTGCAGTTAATTAAGCTCACCTGTTTGCTAAAAAAAATGTTATTCTTAAAATGTTCAACATTCAGAACTTGAGAGCACTAGAGCCTCCGCTCAACAGACATTAAATCGTAGCAATCTTAGGTTTAAAATGTGGTTTAAGATTCTTATCTCGCAAACAAAATCAACTACAAAAATTAAACTCAAGAGTAAACGTTCTTCCCGTTTCTACGCTTTATAAGGAAAAAAATGAAGGGCGATCAATTTCTAAACCTTGTTCCACCATATAGAAAATCAAAGGTCAATAAAAAGGACGATGAGTTACGTTGATTTATTAGAATCAGAAAAGAAGAACTCACGAGTATAGAGCGAGTGCTCTTCGAATAACATAAATAGCGTTGTTATATTTAGTCTTGAGCCTCCGGTCATCACTTTCTCTGATTGCTTTATCGATCTCCATATTTTCTGAAAATATCCTGTAAAAAAATGAGAATATAAAGATGCGTATTCAACAAAATTAGCCATTTTTGGTAAAAAGGAACGCGCTAAGACTGATTACGCAAATGCCAAATGGATTTCCAAGATTGTTGAGGTTTTGATTTCCATGGATTATAAGATATACCTTTTGAACTTCTGGGACTCCAAGTATCGAAAATGAGGATTTGAATTGAAGTGGGAGGAGATTGGGAAGTTGATTTTTGATTTTTAAGTAAGAAATCAAATAGAAATGAGGTTGGATATGTTTTGAGAGGCGCTCTTTTGATGGCAAATTCCATTTATATACGAAAACGGAAAAAGGACAATGATGGATTTTTCTTTTTTTTTTTTTAATTTTTGCTTTAAAAAGAAAAAAAGAAAAAGAAAAGGAAAAAGCAGAGAAGCTGCATGGGAGACTTGAAACGTCTGTCGTACATAGCCTGTCAACGGTTTCATTTGGGTATAATATCCGCATAAAAGTTTTTAATGATATCATTCAAAAAAATTTATATAATAATTACATAAAATAATTAATTTAAAAAATTAAAAATTAATATTAAATTAGAATTATTTATGGCACAACTTATATAAAAAAAATACCATGCTATGTAATTTGTTCCAAAATAGGACTTTAATTTTTATTTGTATTTTTTATCTTAATTTATTTTTTCTAATGATGATTTTTTCTATTATTATTGCTGGAAAGATGTGAACTTTTTTTTTTGTTATGCAAG